GAAGAAGAAGAAGAAGAAGAAGAAGAAGAAGAAGAAGAAGAAGAAGAAGAAGAAGAAGAAGAAGAAGAAGAAGAAGAAGAAGAAGAAGAAGAAGAAGGCGAAATCAGGATTTTCATACAAATATAAAACGGAAGGGCTCAGTGGTGCAGTGCCTGCCTGCCATGAGTGAGGGCCCAAGTTCCACTGGGGAAAAAAGAAAAAAACAGAGAGAACATGCAAAGGTGAAGTATTCGATAGATATTAACAATGAGTATGACAGTGATAATTACCAATTTCGTGCCACTAATATTCCTCATAGTCTGGCTTTCCTTTTTTCTTACAGCTGAGGATTCAGCGTTGGTTTTCCTTTATTAACATCAATTGAAATGTAGGATTTAGGTTTTTCGTCCTGCAGGGTGCGCCAGGTTCTGGTCCCGCCCTCTGGGCTGTGAGATGAGGGACAGGATGTGGCCCCGGAGGCGCTGGGGTGTCCTGGAGACACCCTCGAGGTACCGGAGGGGACTGCACCGGGTTTTAGCAAGCATGTCATCAGACGCGGTGCCCTGTGGGTGGCTTTGGGGTGCCCAGAGGGGCCTGTGCGCTCGGGGGCGGTCCCGGGGTCGGGGCGGTCCTAGTGAGAGGTACTTGGCTCCCAAGGCCATCGGGAATAGCTTTTTATTAAGCAAGTTCTTTTTAAAAAACATTTGTATTTATGGAAAATTTAAAATGCACGTAAAAGTACACAATAGTGCAATGAGCCCCCGCATCCCCCTCACATGTCATGCTTTTTTAATTTTCTTAAATTTAAAAATAGATACGTTAAATAAAGCATTTAGGGTAGAAGTCTACTGCAAAATCAAATTACAGGTTTTCAGGGCTCTCAGGCAAGCAAATACTCCCTTCCTTTTCTTTCCTCCTACCCTGAGGAGGTTTAGATCACCTCCTCTCCCTTTCTCTTATTTGTCTCCCTCCTTCCATGCTTTCTTCTCTGAGACAAGCTCTCACTGTGCTGCTCAGAGCAGTCCTGAACTCCTGGCTCAAGCTCTTCTCCAGCCTCAGCCTCCAGATCTCCCGGGCCTATCAGCGTGAGCCATTGCTCTTGGCTGTCCCATTCTTTTATAATTTATCTTTGTTGGTATTGTTCATAGGTGGAGTTCTCCTAGAGTAGGTAAGAGGTGGACATTTTGATTTTCAAACTGGATTAATTATGGCCTATCCACCTGACTGTACAGTCCTCAATAATAACACTATGAAGAGACTGTGATAGGAAAATGTTTAACACTTAATGTTATCTAGCTTGCCCGGCAGGCATTCTGCTGCTGAGCTCCTATCCCCAGCTTGTTAGACAGTAAATAGAGTATAAAATTGGATGAGCACAGGGGCCGGGGAGATAGCTCAGTAGAATAAGTGCTTCCCTGGTAAGCGCAAGGGCCTGAGTTCAATCCCCAGTTCCGAAAAAAAAAAAAAAAAAAAAAAAAAAAATTGGATGAGCACAGATACTAGACAGTCACAGAACCAAAAACTACAGGGCACTGGGAGTGACACTAGTGACACTAGTGTCAGCTAGTAGGAAGGCTGAGGCAGGAGGAGCACAAGGTCTAGGCCAACCTAAGCAACTTTCCAAGGTCCTGCCTCAAAATAAAAATAAAAAAGCCTGGGGCCAGCCAAATAGCTCAGCAGATTAAAGGGCCTACAAGAAGGTACAGGGGCTGGGGGTTCAATCCCCGGGCCTGCTGGGCCTGCTGCTGGCCCTGTCCCTGGGACACACTGAGATGGTGATTGAGACTGGGTGTGGTGGCGCTCACCTGTAATCCCAGCTCATGAGTGGCTGTAAACAGGCGGATCACTACCAGTCCGATCTAGTAGTGAGACCCTGAACACCCTGTAGACCCTTCCCTAAAATACAAAAACATAAAAATAAAATAAAATAGTCTAAGAGTGGGGTTCAGTTTTATAGGGCTTGGCTAGCATGCACAAGGCTATACTGCCAAAAAGAAAAGGAAGAAGAAAAAAAAAAAAAAACCCACTAGAGAGAAATCAACACAAAACTAGTTTTTGCATCAAGTGGTGTATGTCTAGTTGATTTATATTTCACCTTTAAAACCTCCCTTTAATACTGTTTTAAAATGACTTTCACTATAAACAACAGCCATAGTGGAACTAAAAAATACTGGTGCTCATTATAGCAAAGGCCTAGCGAGGGTCAAAGGCTCTCAGGGGACACGTAATATTGTTGCCCCTCTCCCTGTGCCCAGAGCCGCTGTTTTTGCCAGGTAGTCAGAGCCCGGGGGTGGCTGTGGGGGCTTCTCTGCTTCTCCACCCTCTCCCTACACCCACAGCCCACAGGTCCAAAGGCTCTGCCAACCCACACTCCTAAAACCTAAGCCCAGGTCCTGCCCATGGAACAAGTCAGAGATACCCGGGTCCATAAACCAGGAGTGTTTACTGTGCACACTTGCGTGGTACTTCCTGGGTGTCAGATACTGGCTGAAGCATTTTACATAAATACACTCACTCAATTTTCAAAACTGACCCATAAGGGGCCTATGTACAGATGAAGAAACTGGGGCATCGGCAGCTGGCCTTAAGCTGAGGCACAGAGCCGGGCCAGCCAGGCTGTGTAGTCCCCAGTCCCTGCTCCTGTCAGCTCACTGTACTGTGGAGAGCTGAGTGACCTCACTGGATGGAAACTCTGTGTCCCGATGTCTAGTATCTTGGTCATTCACTGTTTCTCAGTTCATTTAATCTTTCTAATATTTCTGTAGTTACCATTTTGTAGATAAGAAGATAGTAGTTTAAAGAGCTAAAGTATGTGTCTTAAGTAACAGTTAATAAAAAGTATAGTGATAGTTTTTAAACCCAGATGTCCTAGATCCTAAGTCTTTATGTGTGTGTGTGTGTGTGTGTGTGGCCAGCTCAGCCGGGGGGGAGGGGGGGGACTGGCTTGTGGTGCTGGAGGATTGAACCGCGGTCCCTATGCTTTAGCTAAGCTTATTCTAAATAGGTGCTTTAGACC